TTATTTATATATTTTATAATTATGGATAAAGTTTAGAAGTTTTAATATTATAATTTATAAAAATAAAATAAAAAATTGATCCATTAATTTAAAATCAGATCGATCAAACTAATTTGATGTTTAATCAATTTAATTTTTTTTATATTTGATTAATTTTTTAAAATATTTGATCTATTTAATTTTTAAGTATAACAAACCAAACCATTCAATTAGGCACCCCCTTTCTAACTATAATGCAGCTGCTTCTTTTTGACTTTCGTTGCACACTCTATTATCCAAACGGCTGGTCACAGATGCCAAATGCTACAAGCTTAAGCATTCGTTTCTTGTCTTGTATCTTCTAAATATGTATAATAAATCTTTTTATAATTAAATTTAAATATTTATTGAAATCAATTAACGGATATAATAGTTATAATTTCATAAATTTGAGATAAAACAATGTACCTCATCAAACATCTATAACCAAACCCTGATCAAATAATAGTCACCCCCGTCTTGTGTCACGGGGCGATTCTTAAGACCACTCTCCGTGCGGCCTTGGGCTCAACCCTTATCTCGGTACTAGAACCCAAGTCAGCCTCAGTGCTTCAGCACTTACTCAGCAAGCACCCAACTCCCACCCGATGGCTTTAAGCCTGCAAGCAAGCTTGCATAAAAGAGAGAGGAAGACAAGAGAAATACTAGCAAAGAGAAGCTAAGCTTGTATTGAATGAATTGAATTACAATGTATTCAATGGGATGATTTACACAAGGAGCATGGGGTTATTTATAGCTAAGGTTCCCCACACATTTTCCTCCAAAGTTTTCAATTCAAAGTATTCCCCCCCCAAAATATTTCCCTCCAAAACATTTGGGAGGTTCTAGAAGTTCGGTTGGGAGGGAAAATTTGAATTTTCCAGCAGCCCTTCTAGAAGTTCGGTTGGGAGGGAAAATTTGAATTTTCCAGCAGCCCCCCTTACATGGGTCTAGTGGGCTGGCACCCTCTTGGGCCTCCTGGCGGGTCTGGACTGTGTCACCTCTTGGGCCTCCTGGTGGGTCTGGACTGTGGCCCGTGACACTTGCACAAGTATAAGCCATACTTGAACACTTCGGATCTATTTATACTCGCCATCAAATAGTTACATAGCTAAAAGAATTGAATAAATCCATAAATAAGTTATTAGCAAGTGAACTAATATAAATAAAATCTTCCTCAAAAAACTGGAGAAATTACTTTTTTTATTTTAAATATGTGTAAATATATTATTATTTCAGTAGAGCTTATCACATCTTTATACCATACGAAGCTTGGAAAACAACCAAAAAAATATAAACAACACATTTTGTCCGATGGGCGGTCATTGTAATCAATTAATAAAAATTGGTTAAAAGAACCCTCTAATCTCTGTACTCTTTAATTTTATTCAATTCAGTTTTTATACTCAAAATTGAAGTAATTTAATTTTTTAATTTTGAGAATTACATCAATTAGTTTCTTCTCCTAGTGGCATCCAATTTTACCGTTAACGAATAACGTCAGCATTGACATCAGCGATAGCATCAGCGTTGAGGTGTTACATTTTGATGACGAATCATACCACGTGACACTGAGTGATGATGTGGCAATGCCATGTGGCACTATATGATGACTTGGTAGTGCTGGTGTGACATTGACATGTCAATGCCACGTGACATATAAAAATATTTCAAAAAATATTATGTCACGTAATAGGGAATAAATTAAAGAAAAATATATAGTACATGGACTAAACTGAATAAAATTAAGATGTTAAGAGACTAAATTAAAAAAATATTTAAAAAGTACAAATCTTTAAGTAGATTATTGATATGCTTATCAATATGCCAAATATTTATACGTAAAAAATTTATGGTGTTAAAAAATATATAAAAATATTTTTTTGCTTGATTATTTGATTATAGAATATGTAAATTAATTTTTTTTTACAAAAATTAAGTTTGAATTCTCCTTCTATTAAAAAAAATTTGAAAAAATTTCATATCTAAAGTCAAATTTTGATAAATAACTTGCATTACGTTAAAATAAAATAATATAAAGTGACTAAATATGCTGATTGAGTTACAACTTTCATAATTTATAAATACACATTTTTTTAAAATTATTCAACTCTTACCCAATTTACTTTTTATTTAAATTTACTTAAATTAGCAAAATATGTTAATTTAGTTACACCTTTCACAATTTACAAAAACACATTTTTTTGCAATTATTTAACTCTTATCTAATTTACCTTTTTATTTAAATTTACTCAAAATTTCTTACAAAATAATTTTATTTAAATTCAATACCACAATTAAATTCTATTAAATTTAAATTTAAATTATTAATTTGGATCTATAAAAAAATTATTAATAAAATAAAATGGTACAAATATTTACAATTATATTTTACTTTATCAACTATAAATGTAATCTTTAATTTAAAAAATTTCAACTTAAAAACTATAACTTGAAATATTAAACGAAATAAAAACATAAAAAGTAAATAAAAATTGGATTGGTAGAGCTCAGATTTTATAGTTGTAATATGAGGTTTGTCATGTCTAAATTAAATAAGTCAAAATGAAAAATTATTTATATAATCATCGCTAACTCTATATCTCCGTTGTTCATTTTTTTTTTAAAAAAAATTAAATCAACATATTTTACTAATTTGACTTTAGCTCAAGTTAAAAATTAAGTTAATAAAGTTTAAATTTTTTTACTATTATAAATGGAAAAAAAGAATTTATTTAATAATTTTATATTATTTTATGTTAACGTAATATAAGTTATTCATCTAAATTTGACTTCAGGCATGAAATTCTTTTCAAAATTTTTTTCATGAAAGGAGTATTCAAATTTAATTTTTATAAAAAATATAAATTAATTTACATATTCTATAATCAAATAATTAAGTAAGAAAATATTCATATATATATATATTAACATCATAAATCTTTTACACTTAAATATTTGGCTTCTTAATAAGCATATTAATCATCTACTTAAAGATTTGTATTGTTCAAATTTTTTTTTCAATTTAGTCCCTCAACATCTTAATTTTGTTTAATTTAATCTCTGTACTATATATTTATGCTCAATTTAGTCCTTATGACATGGTAAAAATTTTTTTAAAAAAGTTTTTGATCTACAACGTGACATTGACATGCCAGCATGCCACGTCATCTATAGTGCCACATGGCATTGCCACGCTATCACTCAATGTCACGTGGCATGCCATGTCATCTTCTCAAACGCCACATCATTAAAATCTGACACATCAGCTATGACGTCATCCCTTAACGGTAAAATTAGATGCCGTTACGGGGAGGGATTAAATTGACAAAATTTTCAAAATTAAAAAATTAAATTACTTCAATTTTTAATACATAGATTAAATTGAAGAAAATTAAATAGTATAAAGACTAGAAGGGTCTTTTGACTAATCTGAAATTGAAATAATTAAAATTTAAATTGAAAATAATAATAAATATATTATTATTTTAATTTTAAATTTGAATTTAATAATAAATAAATAAAACAATCTAAGTTATATAAAAATATGTATACGCAATTACATTTGAATTATTTTTTAACTGTCAACCAAACTGTCACTTATCTACGGTAAACAGAAAAAAAAAACTGCTAATCTATACAAATAATTCTCTACCGGTCAGATTATTTTTATGCAGAGTTGTCAATAATGCACAATCGAAGGATTTAGAAGTTTCTTTTTCATCCAATCATTTTTTTTTTAACAACAGATGAAAAATAGGAACTATTTAAGGCATCCTCCCATCCCCTGCCCCACTTACTTAATCGTTTTTCTGCCCCTTAGTTTCTATATGGTAAGCATCATTTACCTTGAATGTTCACTTCAATTCACTGCTCATTACTCAAAGATGGGTTCATTTGGAGCCACTAAATCTCATGCGGTATGTGTTCCATTTCCAGCACAAGGCCATGTTAACCCCATGATGCAACTAGCTAAGATCTTGCACTCAAGAGGGTTCCACATAACCTTTGTTAACACCGAGTTCAACCATGGGCGCTTGATCCGGTCTAGAGGGGAAGAAGACGTTAAGGGTCTGCCGGATTTCCGGTTCGAAACCATTCCAGATGGGCTGCCGCCTTCTGATCGTGATGCAACGCAAGAGGTTCCATCACTATGCGAATCCACAAGGAAGACTTGCTTCGCTCCATTCTTGGAACTAATAGCTAAGCTAAATTCCTCACCCGAACTGCCTCCTGTTACTTGCATAGTTTCTGATGGAATCATGAACTTCGGTATCAAGGCTGCTGATGTACTAGGCGTACCATACGTTCAGCTCTGGACTTCTTCAACTTGTGGGTTTTTGGGCTATTTGAAGTACAGAGAACTAATCGAAAGAGGCATTGTTCCATTCAAAGGTACGATATATATATTTAAGATTGTCTCTTTGCAACGATCTCTTAGCCTGCTACGTTATTTGCAGCTATGGATTGAATGTCTGAAAATAGATTCTCATTATCCATGTTCGGATGAAAATTTCGTTAGTGATGGGACTCTTGATATGCCGATTGATTGGGTCCCCGGTACGAGTAACATGCGCCTCAAGGATATTCCAAGCTTCATCAGAACCACCAATCCCGACGACATTATGTTAAATTTCGCCATGTCAGTTACAGAAGAATGCTTAAAATCTTCTTCAATAATTTTCAACACATTTGATGAGTTAGACGAAGAAGTGTTAGAAGTCATTGCAGCCAAATCCCCTGATAATTATGCAATTGGTCCACTTAGCTTGCTTAGTAGGCAAATTCCAGAGAGCCAATGCAAGTCACTAAATTCAAGCTTATGGAAAGAAGACGCAAGATGTATCGAATGGCTTAACAAAATGGAACCCAAGTCAGTGGTGTATGTGAATTATGGTAGTGTGACTGTAATGTCAGATCATCATCTGCAAGAATTTGCATGGGGACTGGCAAACAGCAAGCTCCCATTTTTATGGATAGTAAGGCCTGATGTGGTCATGGGCGAGTCCGCTATTTTGCCTAAAGAATTCGTGGAAGAGGTAAAGGATAGAGGAATCATAACAAGTTGGTGCCCCCAAGAGCAAGTATTGTCCCACCCAGCAGTAGGTGTTTTCCTGACACATTGTGGGTGGAATTCTATGTTAGAAGCCATATGCGACGGTGTGCCTCTAATCTGCTGGCCTTTCTTTGCTGAGCAACAGACAAATTGTCGATATGCTTGCACCACATGGGGCATTGGCATGGAAATCAATCCGAACGTCATGCGTGACGATGTCGAGGCTCTTGTGAAGGAAATGATGGAAGGAGATAAGGGAAAAAGGTCGAGGCAAAAGGCTGCGGAATGGAAGAAGAAAGCTGAAGCTGCTAATAGTATTGGAGGATCTTCTCTTGGTAATTTTGATAGAATGATTAAGAAGGCTCTCCACCATGGTTAAGTAGTAAAACTAGCTAGATTACAAGTACCGTTAATAAATAAAACAAGGTTGGTTTTTCTATCCTTACTTGAATCAATATTGTATCATTGACCCACCTTGTGGTCCTTTCTGCTTTCAGTCCACTAAATAAATAATACTATTTGAGATCAGTATCAAGTACTGAAATTTGTGTCCAATAGTTGTGGTTCTTCCTTTTTTCTGTTGCTAACAAAAAGGAGGAAAATTCGGTTTTTCAAAATCAATCACTGAATTTAATATATATGTATGAAGTGAGAGCATGCACTGAGGGACTGGTCGCTTTCCCTTCTTGAATATGAAAAGGCCTTGTGCTATCCTGCAATAATCCTGAGTATTTTTTACAATGTATATTTGTGGTTTTTTTTTTTTTATAAGTCATAGAAGTTTTCATTAAAACCATGAGAGGTTACAGCCAGTCAAAAGGAAGGACCGGCGAGCAGAACCTCCTTACATAAGAGAGGAGGCTCAAAAAGCACCTAGAAATACATCAATAAAGAAAACATCATTAAACCCCTCAAAAAAGAAGTAGCACACATTTCCAACACAATCATCCACGAGCTTTAGAGGTTAAACAAAGAACTACCAAATTCCAAAGATAACGCAAACTCATGAGATGCAGGAGTCATTCAATATGCGAAAACCAGCACATCTCAAAGCCAAGCAATAAAAGGATTATTACGATTGATTCCTTGCTCAGCGGGTTGTTCAGCACAGTGATTGCCCTCTTGAAGAACATGGTGACAAGAGACACCTCCAATTGCCTCAGATAGAAGGTCAACCCGTTGAAAGAATTTCCATGCTTTCCACGGTCTTTTTTCTTGTTTCTGAACGTAGTTAATTGCTGTTCTGGAATCTGAGTCAATAATCAGATTCTTAAGTCCTAGCCATGATGATTTATAGAATAATTCCAGGGCAGTCTTAATAGCCCATATGCCGGCCATACTAGCATCCCTCGAATCGTTGGGACCAGAAAAAAGAGCAATAATGTTTCCATCCGTATCCCGAAGAATTCCACCAACCCCCGTGCTATATGATTTATTTCATAACTATTTGTATCTATAAATACCACAATAAAAGGAAGCTTTAAAGTCTTTTAATCCTATAAGATGCATATCTAACTACTTGAGTTGTACTCTAAAGAAGATTCGACATTTTAAATTCTGTTTAAATAACACTTTTATTTTTTTAATATTTATTTATTTGTGTAAAGTGTGAATAAAAAATTAAAAACAAATAATTAAAATAAAAATATCAATCAAATAAAATTTTAATTTATTGATGTCAAGTTAATCGTAGGCGTTTGATGAGGTCCAAAGGGGCAGACGCTATTGCGGGCCTGCCCGCCTTCCTGTTTGAAACCCTTCCGTATGGGCTGCCCTCCCACAGCTGCATAATGATTCCAACACAAGGATCCAGCGCAATCACGTCTGCATGGTTTGCTTTAACCCGAAGACTCATGTTACATAATTTCGGATGGAATTATGAGCTTGAATAAAGAAGATCAATATTCAGTTATATATACAAGATAAACCAGCCTCCTTATTCCACTTCTAATTTGTTTTGCAATCATATAGTTAAATTTACATCCATTCGTCCTTTTCCTGTTTTATTTAAAAGAAAAAATATTAACATATCTTACCAGAAAAAAAATTTTATAAAACGATTACTCTATTTATGAACATATGCCTCTTTCATTTAAATCATGTCAAGTCATCCATTCAAATCATGTGATAATGTTATGTTTTTGATAAAAGTAAACCTTAAATGGTGAATATATATTTCTACAAATTTAATAATTGCTTTTGTAATAAATAATTGAATTCTATTAAAAAATGATTACGGTGCATGATTTATATGCCAAATGTATATACTAGCATGGAGAAAACAATTTCATAGAATGGTTAAATGCTCATTTTATGATCTAACTTCAACCAAATTTTTTATTTCAAGATTTAAGTTATGAATTTGTTTAAATCATTTAAAATGTAACTTTTTGAGTTTTATCTATTCAAGATAAATCGATGATAAAAATTAATAACAATAACTGTTGCTACATGAAGGTAAATTACTTTGTTTCGTTTCTCAAATTAATTTGCTAATTTAATATAATATATAAATTTATATAATTATACAACAAACAAATAAATAGTTAAATAACTAAAAAAATTGAATAAATGCATAAATAAGTTACTAGCAAGTGTATCCTATCCTTCATGAGTAGGTAGCAATCTTAAAAAATAAAAAAATAAAAAATAATAACAAAAAAAGTTACTAGCAAGTGAGCAAGTAAATAATTAAATTTTCCTAAAAAAACTACAGTAATTAATTTTTTATTTTAAATATGTGTAAATATATTATTATTTTTTTAAAAAAAATCATTTGATATAAAAATAGTCATATAAATAAATATATAAATAAGTAAATAAATTAATAATTGAAGAAACAATAAATAATGAAACATAAAAATAATTTCAATTATTTGTTAGCTCTAGAAATATCAAACGATATATTATAAAATTATATAATACACTAACTTTAATGTAATGTTTTTAATAATTATTTGTTCTCATCACAGCTTACTTCACTCATTATATTTATTAAATAAATATATTCTCAATCACCGATTTCAATGTCGTCGTTATAATTGCCCAATCTCATTTTTCATTTGAGTAGAGAGCTAATCAGGCCTTTATGCTAATGGAGCTTTAAAACAACCAGAGGAATACAAACAAAACATTTTCGCCGGTGCTGGGACCTTTTTTGTCCATATGCTCTGAACATGATCTCATTCACAATCCTCTTTTTCGTGTAACGAGGTGAAAAGTTACAGGCCCTCGTTTTAATGGCTTTTTTGTCCATAGCTATTTTTGCATAATAAACAACTCAACAGCAGATCAACTCTAATTATTTGAAGTTGTTTATGATTTCATCATGCTATACAGCCAATGAAGGCATCTTTCTTTGTCGGCGCTGGCATCTTCTTTCTTTTAACTTTTTATATTTTTAATTAGTTGCACATCTCTTTTTAAGTACCCATTAAGTTGGGAGGCTTTCTCACCGGCCCTGAATTTTACACTTGAACTCATTGAATTTTATTCGAAGATGGGTTCAATCGGAGCCAGTAAACCCCATGCTGTTTGTGTTCCATATCCTTCACAAGGCCATGTTACCCCAATGATGCACCTAGCTAAGCTTTTGCACTCAAAAGGGTTCCAGATAACCTTTGTTAACACTGAGTTCAACTGTAGACGCCTGATCCGGTCCAAAGGGGCAGACGCTGTTAAGGGTCTGCCAGATTTTCGGTTTGAAACCATTCCGGATGGGCTGCCACAGTCTGACCGTGACGCGACACAGGATATTCCAGCGCTATGTGATTCAACACGGAAAAATTGTTTGGCTCCATTCTTGGGGCTAATAGCAAAGTTAAACTCCTCATCCGAAGTTCCTCCTGTTACCTGCATTATTTCGGATGGAGTCATGAGCTTTGGTATTAAGGCAGGTGAAATACTTGGCATACCAGAGTTCCAGTTTTGGACTGCCTCAGTTTGCGGCTTCATGGGTTATTTGCAGTACAGCGAACTAGCTAAAAGAGGCATTGTTCCTTTCAAAGGTATATTTTATTTCAGATTTTTCTTTTCATCTATATCCCATAAACTAGGAGAAGCAAGCCTCAATTTATATCATTTTCTTGATCAAGTAGAATTTATTATTAAAAATATATTAAAAGAATTCAAGTAGCACAAATATTTTTTATTTGATTTTGATTTATAGCTTTTCAAGTCAAAAAAATAGTGAAACTTCTAATACTTGTCACTTTTATGTGCACAGTGATTTACGTTATTCTAAAACTTTGCTATCATGCTCACTTTCATTCCAATCACATAACTCTAAGTGAAAGTCATGTTTTCAACTATCTTATGGCCTGATTTATCTTTAAGCTAAGGACAATATTCAAAGGGCAGAATTTAGTTTATGCTTTATGTTTTTCAGATGGAAATTTCATTAGTGATGGCACTCTGGATACACCAATTGATTGGATCCCTGGTATGAGTAACATGCGCCTCAAGGATATGCCAAGCTTTATCAGAACCACTGATCCCCATGACATAATGTTTGATTTCATGGGATCAGAAGCACAAAACTGCTTAAAATCTTCTGCAATCATTTTCAACACATTTGATGAATTAGAACATGAGGTGCTAGAGGCCATTGTTGCCAAATTCCCTCATGTTTACACCATAGGTCCCCTGACCTTGCTCGGAAGCCATGTTCCTCAAAGCCAATTCAGATCAGCAAGGTCAAGCTTATGGAAGGAAGATACGAGCTGTATTGAATGGCTTAACAAAAGGGAACCCAATTCGGTGGTGTATGTGAATTATGGTAGTGTGACTGTGATGTCAGATCACCATCTGAAAGAGTTTGCTTGGGGGCTTGCAAACAGTAAGCACCCATTTTTATGGATAATTAGGCCTGATGTGGTAATGGGTGAATCTGCTATTTTGCCAGAAGAATTTTTCGAGGAGATTAAGGATAGAGGATTGATAACAAGCTGGTGTCCCCAAGATGAAGTGCTCTGCCACCCATCGGTTGGTGTTTTCCTGACACATTGTGGATGGAATTCTACATTAGAATCCATATCAGGAGGTGTGCCTGTAATCTGCTGGCCATTCTTTGCTGAGCAACAAACAAATTGTCGATATGCTTGCACCAAATGGGGCATTGGCATGGAAGTTGATCCTGATGTAAAGCGAAATGATGTTAAGGCTCTTGTAAAGGAAATGATGGAAGGGGATAATGGAAAGCAGATGAGGCAGAAGGCGCTGGAATGGAGGAGGAAAGCAGAAGTTGCCACTGATATTGGGGGATCTTCTTACAATAATTTTGACAGATTCATTAATAAGGCTCTCTCCATCATGGATAAAAATGAAACCTTCTAGTCTAGAGAGTGGTGCAAACTAGTCTGATCTCAACTGCCCCTTTCAATAAGCACCAATTTGGTAATTCACGACAACTGGTTTTCTAATTTTCCCAATTTAAAAACCATGGCATTGTCAAGCATTCTATACGTGGCATGGAATCTGATCAGTTTGACACTATATGGATTTGTGATGTTGCAGTTCAAGACTATATCAAAC